AGGAGGTCCCCTTGGCGTCAGAAAAGAAGGCGTGGACTTGGTTTGCAAAAGCCAGGTCAATGGTCCTTCCGATTGCTGACGGCAGTGGTGAATCTCTCCTCAACCGGTACACTGCGTGCTTTGGTTGTTGAGGGACCCCGCGCATTCTCGCACATCGAGGCCCGGTAACTAATGAAAAACCGTCGTCAATCGATTGATCGCACAACGTTGGATGTGATTTTGTTTCCTGGGAGACATGTGGGCGGCAGCAGAAATGGCGGAGGCAACCCGCAGGTTAGTACCAGTAGTCAGTCTGTGCTGCAGCTAGCATGGGAGTGGCTAGGGAAGAACTAGGGGAGGCTACAGGTTTCTCCACCAAATTATTCACAGCAACCAGGGCCTGGTCAGCTAGTGTTGGTTAAAGGCGAACACAGGTGGAGTCAGCAGTGGTAGCGCGTTGCCTAGGGCCGCCTTCAAATCTCCTTGCCTGGTAAGCGCCCTGCGCAGCCTTCGTGACTGGAGTCGCCCAAGAGAGCCCGTTGCCAGCCCCAAACAAATCGAACTAGAGCGATAGAGACAAGACAAAAACTAGACGCATCCCATCTCACACCACTCCTTTTGCCAGCCTGTTGTCAATCTCGCTCCCTTCATCTTTCCTGGAAACCAATCCCTTCCTGCTTCTCATACAAAACCCATCCTCTTCAAATCTCCTCCCACCAATTCTTCTTCAATCCCTTACCTGAAACGTGACTGCCGGCCCAAAGCCTCGTGGTCCTGGATTGCCATTGTCAATTTCTCCCTTTGATCAGATACCCAATACCCACTTATTCTTCAGGGAACTAATTCTCGCTCTGAAGTATTCTTCTTGACCTTCTCTCCCTCATTCAAGTTGTTACTTTCTTGAACAACCTACTTGACATCACACAATCGAAACACACTTCCCTCTACCAAACCAGCAACATGTCTGTCGAAGCTCCCAAACCCGTCGAGGAGACACCAGTTGTCGAGCCGTCCAAGGTTGTTCCGGAACAGCCAGAGACCACTGTCGAACCTACAGAGGCGGCTGCTGCTCCTGCCGACCCCACCGAGGCTACACCTGCAGTCGCTGAAGAGCCCGCTACTGTTGCAACGGAGGAGGTCAAAAAGGATGAACCCGCTGCTGAGATTGTCCCTGCATCGGAGGGTGTGCTAGGATACAAGGAGCCTACCTTCTTCAAGTATGCCTATACCCAGAGATCCAATTCCAGATAACATAGCTGACTGGTGGGGTGTAGGAAATTCATATTCAGCAAACACTACTTCTGGTTCCAAGAAGAACCTTCAACCGCCGAGTCCTTGACCAACTTCCTGCGATCCGAGAAGGTGGACACAAAGCACTCTGATGCAGCATGGGCACGTGAGACAGGAAAGGGATTGCTCTTCTACTCCAAGCGGGTCGAGGATAAGGCAACCCCTGCTGGCATCATCAACCTGGTAGGTGTCAGAGTCCCCTAAAGCGTGGTAACATCAATTGACAAATCCTTGTAGTTCGACGCCTCGAATATCACGAAGGAAGGACTCCAATTCTCTTTCAAGGCAGGGGCTCATGTCCATCGCTTTGAAGCGTCCTCAGCAAAGGAACGGGATAGCTGGATCGCCGCCCTGGAAAAGGCAACAGCAGAGGCCAAGAGCCTGAAAGAGGAACTCACAGCAAGTGAGAGCTACAAGAAGAACGTCGAAGAATATTGTAAGTGGATAAACGTCTCTTTTGGGATGCCCCGGTTGTCCCCACGCGCGATCCTAAGCTAATGCAGCTCTAGCCAAACCCGCAATTGCTCCCATTCCAGCTGCTGTCAAGGCTTCCCGCTCTAAGTCGAAAGAACCCAAGAAGTCGGTTGACGCCTCGACCGCTGCGGCCGCCGCTGCGGCTGATGCAACCACTGGTGACGCAGAGGAGACTACAAAACCTGCCGCTGAGCGTTCTCAGTCGCGGAAGCGTGGTAGCATCTTCGGCGGTCTTCTCAACAAGAAAGAAGAACACGTTGAAAAGAAAGAGGAGAAACCAGAAGTTCCCGCAAAGGACGACGCCAAAGAAACTCCCGAGGTGCCGGTTGAGGCCTCGACAGCAAGTGCTGGTAAGTCTTCTCACTCACCAGGTTGATGATTTCTGACCATTTCCAGTGCCAGCCCCAATTGTCGCTTCTGACAAGAAAGAGGAGAAGGAAGATGCCAGCCCAACCGAAAAGAACCGCAAGCGTGGATCTGTGTTTGGCAACCTCTTCAGAAACCGCGTAGGCAGCCCAACCACCGAGAAATCGGAGAAGGATGCTTTGACAACCAGCGATGTCCCACCAGTCTCTGAGACTGCTCCCAAGATTGAAGAGCCGATTGAGAACAAGCCCATCGACGCTGCAGCTGTCACTGCTCCAGTCGACACCGTAACCACTCCCCCAGTTGAAGAACCCGCAGCTGCCAGCGAGGCCTCTGCCGCCCCCAAGACGGAGAAGAAGGGCGGCTTGATCAGTTTCATCAAGAAGACTGAAGCTAAGCTCGAAGGCAAGAAGGAGACTAAGGAGGAAACCAAAGAAGAAAAGGCTGCCGAAGCCATTGCGAAGGACCCCGTTGCCGCTGCCAGCACCGAGCCAACGGAACCAGCCGCCTCCACCGAGGCTGCAGCCGAGACTTCTACTCCTGCTACAGAGGAGCGTCCAGCTCGCGACAACAAACGTCGCACTTCCCTTTTCTTCAACAAGAAGCAGCATGAGGCCACTGAAGGCGAAGACACCGTCGCCGAGCCAAAGCGGGAGAAGTCTCCTCTTCCTGGTGGTAAATTCATTGGCCAGCTTGTCCGTCGCGCTAGTAAAGCGATCAAGTCTGAGGGCCCCAAGGAAAAGACTCCTGCTGAACCAGCCGCACCCGCGGCCGCGAGCACCACTGAAGCACCCGCCTCTGAGACACCCGCCGTTGCCCCTGAAACTGTCGAAGCGAAGCCCGTCGAACCTGTCGCAGAACCCATCCAGTCGACGCCAGAAGCGGTGGTTACAACGGCCCCAGAGGTCAAGGCAACGGCTTGAAGGTCCGACGAGGTCAGAGACAAAACTCCACGCACATCTCTATCACATCCATCTCGACTGTCTCGAGCGTCTAGTCCAGTTGAATTCGAGAAGTGGTGGGACGAGAAGACTTACAGCACTCCTCCGGCGGTACCTCCTCGCAGCCCTTCTCGCCTCTCTGGCCTCGTGGTTTCGAGGTAGCGTGACACGGTTGGATCTCCATCAGTCCGTCCTGTTTTGCAGTATCGATCTTTTGAGATACCCGGGCCATGTTGGCCAATTGACGACAAACTCGGACATCACTCCTTTTGTTATGCATTTTCTCTCTTTCAGGATACCCCACGCACTACTAGATCGAAATTGTTTGTCGTTTTTTTGAGTTATTGTGGATTTTTATTTTCTTGGTTTCGTGCTTTCAGTACAGATACCCACTTAGGCAAGTCTTGTCCTTACGAGAAGAGATACCCCCGAAAACAATGTTGTTGGTGGAAAAGGCAAGGGATGACAGGCATACCGTCGCGAGAGAAAAGGGAGGCTTATTAGTTCGACCCTGCTCTTGGGAGGTGCCGGACACTGCGGGAAATCTTGCGGAGCACATCTTGTGGCCATGTCTCATGTTCACAGTTTTGAATGGAATCGACAGATTGGATTGAAACTGGCGGACAAGTGAACAGGAATCATGATTGCAAAGCAGGAACAAGACAGAACAGAACACCTAGCCAGTGAACCATGCAAAGCAGAACCAAGCGTTAGGATAGTAATAGCTAATACATGAAATTGCAAATGAACCGGCGCAGTGTGTTTGGTTGTCACTTGTCATTTGTAGACAACAAGAAGTAGGCTTGGGTGAAGTAGTTCGATTCGAATTCCAGGGTCCAGATCTTTACCCAGCAGCGATGGAATCGGAGAATCTACCAAGTACAACTTGTGTGGCACCGTTCCAGTTCAACTACGAGTCCACGAGGAAGGGAGAGAGTGAGGGAGGGAGGGAGGGAGGGAAGAAGAGAGTTAACGTACTACAGATTACGTCCAAACACCGTCCAACACGTCCAGCCAACCAAACACACAACTTCGTAGCTCGCTCGCTCATACAGAAGAGCAGTACAGAACTACAGAGAACAGAGAACAGGTATGTACGTAGCCTAGGAAGGAAGGGAGCCAGAGAGCCAGAGAGCCAGGGTAAAACACCTCAAGAGAACATATCAAAAGTTGGATAAAGTGACTGAGTTGCATTTTCATACCTCCACCTGTGAAGCAGGATTGGAGGGCATCTCCTTGGATCCTGTAAAAGGAGGCCCCGGCAGATTTGTACCATACAATATCAAAGAGTGAACGAACACATCCCCGTTCAACCCACGCTGCTCAGTGCGGGTTCCCTCCGTGATGGTTCATGTGTCGGAAGAAACAATAACAAAAAAACGCAGACAGGCCTCGAGTCAATCCTTTCCGCAAGGTCCTGCTGTAAAAGAAAAATTTCCTTCTGCAAGACCTGAACCGAAAAAGGAGACAGTCAGAAAGCCGCTTCGTCGCTATCGCCAATAAAACTCAATACAAAGTCAGAAGACCTGGGATGACAAGCCGCTCACACCACTCAAAGCTTGCTGTTGTGCCTTCTTCGAAAGATGTCCGACTGTCGCCAGTGGTAAGAAATCGTAGCGATGTCGGTGAAGATGAGGGTAAACGTCACCCACCGTCGGGAAGAGCAGTCAACCCGAGATCGCTGTGGCCCCAATACATCATAAACAAGATAAAGAAAAGGTGACGTGGCGGTGTGGGGAGGCAGCCCTCCTGGCTTCAGCCTGATAAAACCCCAACCCCAAGCGTCATGCTGCTGTGTCGGCAACTACCACTAGGGTGGTAGTCACAGCTTCAATTGTCGTCCGATTGCAATTGCAAGACACCAATTCTGTGTCAAAGAGAAGGCCACGCAGATACACCTGCGAGTCTTCAACCCACCACCAACCATCATACAATTCCTTCGGTACCCATTCACATGTCCTCCAAGTCAGGATCGGCTCCGAGGCGGTAAATAATGGCCCTGAGACGTTGGATCTCAGCTTCAGCAGCCTCAGCGTGTTCCTGCTTTCGCTGACGGGACTTCCGAGCAGCGGCAGTGTTCTTCTTCCTCTTAGCTGTTTCCTTGTCATCATCGCTCTCGATGTGGATCTCGGGCAAGCTCTTGCGGGCTTTGGACGCCTTGGAGACGCCATTAGTCTCAGAGCGCTTGCGCACATGGTATGGTTGAGAGGGTGGTCGCCCTGGTGAGGACTTCTGTCGTACCATACCAGTCTCTTGAACAGTGGAGACTGGTCGAGAGCTCACAACGCTCGAAGGTGGCTTAATAAAAGCCTCAGTCGCTAATGGTGTGCAGGCGAATTGATCCATGCTGTTCTGAGGGAAGAGTGGTACCATGCCGTCGAGTTCGGCAAAGTTCAAGGTGGCATCAAGTTCTCCATCTTCCAGTGGGGAGGTGTTGAGACCACTGCTGGCCATAGCAGGAGATTCCAAGAAGCTCGAGTCCGGAGTGCTCAAGTTAGGGAAAGCGGCGGATGGCGGAGCCGACATGATCATGGTGTCATCCTTGAACAGGTCAGTAGGGGAAATTGTGCCATCGTTGACCCCGGAGTTGACAGGAGTGAAGTGGTTGGACTGGAAGTTGGGCCCGAGGTCCAAGAAGTCATCGTGGGAGGCGCTAAAGTCACCTCCCGGGAGATACATCGAGTCAAAGGCGGTAGCCATATCGCCTGATGGTACAGTTAGTGACCTTGCCCGAAGAATCGGGCTGAGCTGGAAAGTACCTTGTGGGATGTTGGGGACCGAGTAGTTTCTGCGGGGAGCAGAGGTTGTGTCAAAGGCTGGGACAGGCGGCAGACGTTGCAAATGAGCAAGCTGGCGCAGGTATTTCTCTTGAGGGGATTGTTTTTGCAATGCTAGACTGGGAAAAGACCGGTGATTTGGAGACGAGTAGAGATGCCCGTGAGATGGAGACGAGATAGACTGAACTGGAGACACTCTGCTGTTGATGGAGAGATGCCGAGTCTGGGCTAGTCGTTGGCTATTAGGGGCTGTACTCGATATCGCCTGCGCACGCGAGGCTTGAGAGATCCTGAGAGGGGTCTCCGGAGCGGCGAAGAGCTGAAAGTCCTGATTGAAGTTGTGCTGCTGATGGTTCTGCGACGATGCAGTGGATGAACTTGGGGTTGAGGAACGCCATTGTTGCGGTTGATCCGTGGTGAAGGATGTGAAGTCCAACGCGGGAATGGTTGCGGTTGGAGGAAGAGAGTTCGTTACGCTGGAAGCGAAGACGAGGTCCTGCCGGTAGTTCACAGGTACTCCAGAAGGAGACTGTGACGGAGAGGTGAGTCGAGAGTGGATAGGTGCAGTGACTGGTATGGTGACTGGTCCTATCTTGCCTGAGCGAGATAAGAGGTGAAGCCGAAGACGATCAGAAGGCCGCCATTTCTTGTGAAGCGCAGTGGTACCGGTGATGTCGTTGTAGAAGTGAATGATGGAGGGGTTGAGAAGAGAGAAAAAGAGAAGGAAGTTCTAGGCATCCATCAAGGGGGCGAGGCAAGATTATAATTCAGAATTTCCGTGGGTGGACGAGTTGGGCGAGTGGATGGAGCGGGAGTTGCAGCCTGGGCTGCCCTGGGAGCCCTGGGCATCCCCTTGGGCCTTGGAGGGGGCGTCGTTCTTCGCCTGCATGGCCTGGTGCCCAATCCGTGGAGGCTTTGGTCAGCCTTGACGCCACTAAATGCGAACCCGGGCTAAGTCGGCCACGCTAGAGGGAAACTCAGCCAACAGGAGGCCTCGACAGCCCTCCTTTAGCCGTTCCCCACTGTTGTCGGCCTATCTGTGGCCCATTATCGAATGACTCATAATTCATCTGAAGAGCCTTTCCATGTGGACGGTGCCTTGATTGAGAAATTGACCATGGACAAGGACACATTTCCCCCTGTTTGACCATCTCATGGAAACATATTGACAGGAACGAGATACGAGTTCCTTAACTCCCATCACACACTCTAAAATTCAGGGCCGAAGTATCACAAAAATTGGATATGGTATAATTAACCAGCTTTCTCTGCGCACGAAAGGAATATCTTCCTCCGGGTAGCACAGGTACAAAATTGGCCCTGTGGAACTGGTCCGTCGCTGACCAGGACCGCCCGGAATTGCTCACTTTGGCTAGGCACAAGGCAGACAACCAGGATAACTGGTGTTTTTAGTTGCAACTCTATTATTTGTCCCCCCTACGAGCTTCTCCGTAGGTACAAACTACCGCTCCCAGGACTTGAGAGGAAGTCCCGGCGAACCAGGCACACATTTATCAACAACACAAATGACTGTTTTCTAATTTGAAACACGAATCCACGGTGCATAAATGGATGCAATGAATTTTTTCTAATTGCAGCCATACCTACACAAATGCGGTGCATTTGCGACTGACACCAAGGCGGCCTTGATTGGACTGAATGCCACCCAACTCGGCTGCCGGTCGGCGATCCTACAGCGATTTCCACTTGTGGTTCCTCCAACCGACTCAAGACCTTTGGGATGCCAACCAAAGTGCTCCGCGTTAGCCTATCCTTTCTCTCCTTTCTCTTAGGCACACCCCGGATGGAGAACGCGCCCTTTGGCATTAAATTGTCGCAAGATTGCGACTTTGATATTACGGGGTACTACTCTCTTCGGTGTGTCCCACGCACCGATTCCTACCGTTATACTTGTGCCCTTAAACAATAAATGAGGCTTGGTCATCTGAACTGTTGGCGCATTGGAACTCCAGACAATAACCCCCAATGTCTCTCTCCATTGGGGGCTTACGTGCCTTGCTTTGAAACGGCCGGCTTCTTAGGTTGCAGTGAATCTGCATGTGTGACTCACACGAACTGAGGCTCTGCGCAATCATGCATATTGTGGAGATGTGGCCGTTTGTCCCTCAATGACTCGTTTCATCTCGATCAAATTGCTGCGCAGGTTTGTTCTGGAGGGGCAGCACACCAGATTCCGTCTTGGCGGAATAGAGTACGCCTATTCGTACATGCTCATATGTGGGCTCAGACAGAGAGAGCTGATGATTACTGAGACATGCCGAGTATCTTTGTCCGGTGCATCAGAGACCCACGAGCAAAAAGGGGCTTTTGAAACGAGGCTGACTCCAGCACGGCCGGTGGTCAGTGGCTATGGCTGGAATGCATGGCAAATGTCTTGTAAAGATAGCCTTGTTCCCTAGCAGCGACCAATACGGGTTGCGTATATAGTATATCTTTTCGTCAGACGCAAATATATCTTCGCAGTGAGGGAGCTCATCACCGCTGGTGATGCTGAGTTGGCACAGATGTGTAATCAAACTTCGGATCCTCTACCTATTGAGCCCTTCTTCACAGGAGACAAAAGCGAGTGACCATACGTCCCTTGCAGTAAAGGTGCAGTGGATGCATTTGCCAAAAGTTCAAAAGTCCCATCCTTCATCTACCTACCCAAGTTACCTATGCCATCATCATCCACCCTACCATCCCTCAATGTCCCCAGTTCCCCAGCAGCAAAAAACTTGTCACAGAGCAGCTCAACCTACTGGGCTGTGACAAGGAAAACTCGCCCTGTTTCCAGGGTTGGTTTTTCTCCGACCGACCGGTTATACTACGGAGTTTATACTACGGTGTGGTTGATGTCGACTTTTTAATCGATTTCGGGATTCGAACTCGGTATTTTGATTCGGTCTCGTGAATTTCGCCCTTGTTGTGTGTATAAGGGGGTCTTTGCGTGGTGGAATTTAGACAGAGAAAACTGATATACTTGTGATTTTTCTGTGCTGGTACTGGTACTATCGTAGATGTGAAGATGTGAAGCCCTCCAGTGGGTGGGGGGTGTAGGGTCATGGTCTGGGGTCTGGTCTATGTGTACGAGGTAGGTACGTAGTCCTTCAACTTTTCCGCACCAAACCTTCTTCAACCGCGCTCGCCCAAGAGCCTGTTGTGCATTCCCTATTCCACAACCAAACCCATCGTGCCACAGTGCGCATCCACGCATCTCTTGTTAGCTCATCTGAACTCACTCACTCAGTCCTTCGCAACCCGCGAGCTTTTTAATCCCCTCCTATCATTGATCGCGATGATCCACGAGCCGAAGCATGTGCACCCACAATTCCCGTCCTTTTTTTACTTTTTTGTTTTTTCTTTGTTCCTCTGCTTTTTTTGAGTTCTGACCCATCCTGCCCATCCTACCTTACTTTACCGGTACGAGTACAAGTCCCGTCCCATCGGGCAGACAGGAACGAGCGTGCGAGGGCAAACACGAATCGAAATGTCAAGGGGTGGATGGGTGGGTGGGTGGCATCCAGATATTGATGGCGATGATGATGTGTGGCGACAATGCATCTGAACCTGAACCGGAACCTGAACATGGGCGATTGTGCGTAGCACACAATCTGACAAACATACTACGCATGCCTAGTATCTTTGCGGACCGGTCACCCGTGCAAGTGCATGTGGCTTTAGAGGTCTATCTGTCTAGGTACCCTCTCGAGAGGAGTGTGTGTGTGTCCTCTCGACCCTGGCTCTGATCCTCCCCTAGATGACCCGGACATCCCAAAAAATCTGGGCATTCATCACTCAGTCCTCGGAGATACAGACCTGCTCTTCTCCTTGAATTTGAACCTTAGATGAACCGTCTCGAACCGTGGCATCCCCAAGGGCTCGATGCTGTATTGGCAGTTCACGTATTCGGACCTGTGGAAATAATACAAAGTACAAATACAAAGCAGTGGAAAGAACCTCGCACGGCAACGATCATCGCCCTTGTCTAACTAAGCGCACCGTCCGATATCAATTCGTGATCACAAGATCTCTGCCAATTCTCAAAGGTCTGCTAGTGCCCTGTGCTTCTTATGTACAAGTATGTGGGTGCTCGTACTGTTGCGTCAAAGAACCCGCCTGTATAAATCACTCATGCCACCGAAGCTGCCGAGGTCGTGGTGGTTGTAAGTGCCTCTAGCCCTTTGAGCATTTCCCACGGATTCCGATCATCATCTACCCTCTCATCAGTGAACATCGTCAAAACTTGTCCGACTTCAGCCCGCAAGACTGCGTCCAAGAGCTCCTCGGATCGCTGCCACTCCAACCTCCTATTCTCATCTGCCCCCTTTTCGTCTCCCGTACCCCTCCTAACTGGGTTACCATTGGCATCTTCCGTCGTCGCTCGTAAATCTTCCAGTTCCTGCTGTAGATCGCGGCCTTCCTCTTCAGCCCAGTGTATTTGTCGGCGCAAAAGTCGGAACCATTGTGATGGAGGAAGACTGCGCTCGTACTCGTCCATATCATCCCAGATATCGGTGGGATAGTAGTCTGACGGAAGAGGTAGAGCCAGCGGAACACTGTCCACGTCAACCGCGTCGATGAGCTCTTCTGACCCATCATCGTCCGCCATAGCAACGTCGTCGAGATTGATGCCCATCATAGAGACAGTGTACCGTGTGGGTAAAGAGGGCAAATCTCCGACAAGAGTAGCTTTTTTGTCGCCATTCGTTTTGCCCCCCATCGTCAACTTCAGCCTTTTTATTGGTATACCGGATGACCCTCCATTCGAGATACCGCCAGTGTGCCCCCTGGGCACCGGATCACTAGGGCGCAAGGCTTCGGTCTCGTGTACCGTACGCATATGCTTTGCCAGAGCATCAGATCTAGTAAAACTTCGGTCACACTCAGGCAGAGCACACATGAATGGCTTCTCCTTGGTGTGGCTTCTCATATGAGCCTTCAAGGCGTAAGCACTCGTGTGCGGCTGGCCCTTGCGGGCACAACCCTCCCACTCGCAGTAGTACTTCTTCTGGCGGGGTACGATATGGACATCGTTAATGTGAGCAACCAGGTTATCCATGTTACCTTGCTCTTGATCGGTACAACCGTCCCATAGACACTTTGTTACTTGGACATAATCTGCCAATTCTGGGTTGTCAGGGTTGGCTTGAGCTGCGGCATACGCCGTCGACAAAGGATGGGTAGGGCCCAGATTGGCAAACGACGGCGAAGTAGGCACCGAGCCTGACGAGTCACTTGATATTGACCCTGTGGGTGAGCGAGGAGGGATGATGGTTGAAGCTGATTGAGGTGTGGCATGATCGTAGCTCGAAGCACCAGTCTTTCGACGTTTGGCAGGAGGCATGTCTAGGGCTGCAGCTGTGGCACTCATAGCCGATGCAGTCTCATCGTCTGAGGCAGAGATAGTAGAGTCCCGTGAATGGGAACGCGTTCTGCGGCGAAATTTGACCTCCTCATGAAATTCGTCGGAGTCGATATCTGACAAGGGCGACCCAGAGGCCGGTGTTTCTGGCTCCAGGTCCATGATTTTTGGGTGAGGTCAGAATGAGGCGGCTCTAACCGACAGGATCAAACAACATAAAGTAAAACCTGATGATGAATTGAAGCAAATATCGCTACAAAACCATGTTATTTACTGTGTCAAGGATTGCCTAGAATGAGATCCAGGAAGTTTGCGCGACGGTGCCAAACTCGGCAGACCTGCTTCTGCGAGGTACAAGCAGCCACAAGTCGCGACCCCTAATGCTGGCGTGGCTGGATTCTACATGCCATACCTCGTTTGTACCGAGTATGGCGCACCCAACTAACAGCCACGACGGCCTAAGCCTTGTCACATTTCCTGACCGCGGACATGATGGCCTTGGTTATACGAGTCCTCTCTACCAAATACTCGGTACACCCTGCTCAACCACCCTTCGGGAAGCATGGTGAAAATCTACCAAGAAAGACGCGGTTGGTGTGACCCTAAGGATAGTGGAACAGCAGCAGGATTCCCTCATGCTGTAAGCGAGCGAGTTGCGGGGATTTACATACTCGGAAACAGTACGAGTCGTTCAAGGTGCTCTAGGATCTGTCCATGTCAAGGTAGGGACGTCCTTTGTCTCCATCTCAAAAGCATCACCGCCGGCCTATTGTCTCGTATGAGCACCTCGACGTGACACTTGTCTGAATTGCCAATATATCAGAGAGCAACGCTTCCAGCAGCAGGATTCGTGAATCCCCGCAGCGCCCAAGCGACATCCCGCATCTCAGGTGAATTCTGGAGGAAAATGGCTACATTCAAGATAATCATCACCGGCACCGGAATCGCCGGTCTTGCCACAGCCCTTAGCATTTCACAGAAGACAAAACATGAAATTCTGATTCTGGAAAGCAGTCCGATCCTGACTGAAGCCGGTGCTGGAATCCAATGCTCTCCTGCTGCAACTCGCATCCTCAGTGGCTGGGGTCTGCGGGATCAATTCGAGGCAATTGCCGTACGTCCGGACTTGATGGAGATCAGACGATACGAAGACAACGACCTCCTCGGTCTCTCTTTCATCAACATCAAGGACTACTCTGTCCTGATGAGGGGGTTTCCTCACTGGTTTGTTCATCGAGTCGACTACCAGAAAATCCTTGCCAACGCTGTGACAAAAAGAGGCGTCAAGATCGAGTTCGGGCAAAAAGTCGTGGCTGTTGACGTCGAAGAGGTCAAGGTAACGTTGGAGGACGGGAGATCGCTGGACGCCGATCTGATTATCGGCGCCGATGGAATACACTCGAGAACTCGACGCTCAATTCCTGGCTTGCAGGATATTGTCCCCCGACGAGTGGACCACTACTGTTATCGTGCTATTGTGCCCCGTGAGAAAATGCTGAAGAATCCGCTGACTGCTGCACTTCTCGAGAACGACAGTTTACAGGTTTGGGCTGGTGAACTCAAGCATTTGATAGGGTACCCATTCGCCAATGGCAGGTTTTACAACCTGGTTCTGACGGTTCCAGACGATGGCGAAGCTCCCCTGGGCCGGTACAATGAGCCAGGTAACGTCTCGGAGATGCAGCAGGTGTTCAAAGACTTCAACGACACGGTTCAGGCCGTACTGAATGCCGTGGATGATTGCGCCAAATGGGTTCTAGCCGAACTCCCACCATTACCTTCCTGGTCGAGTCCAAACGGACGTGTTGTTCTTGTGGGAGATGCTTGCCATGCCATGGTGCCCCACGCCGCCTCTGGAGCAGTAGCATCGCTCGAGGACGCCGAAGTTCTTGGTCTTTGCGTGGCAACTTGCCGAGAAGCAGCAGATCTTCCCAGAGCCATCAAAGATTACCAGCACTTGCGCAAGCCTCGAGCTGAACGAATCCAGGAAATCTCGCGTCAGAATACCACAACTTTCAACCTACCTGATGGGCCAAAGCAACAAGACAGAGATCGTATCTGGGGCGCGCAGAAAGCGGTGGCAGAGAAGCAGTTACAAGAGGGCTTCGAGGTGGCGGTCCTGGAAGAAGATAAGAATCAAGTGTTTCCGCATCCGGCCGTGGTCCAGTGGCTTGTCGGACACAATGTCATAGAAGAGACGAAACGCTACCTTGCGAGTCGAGGGTAGTTTCTCGGGTTGTTGTAAGGGAGAGTCAGAACATGTTGGTGCAACCTCGCCGTATGGTTTGGATTGTGTGACTCCGGCAAAGTCTCCGTGTACTGCCTATTCGGGCAGGTGGCAGAACGTTGTCGCTACTCACAATACAAGGCGCCCTGTGATAACTTCTCTTCTATACCTTTCTCAACTTTTCCTTGTTCCGCATTCTGTACAGCGTATCTATATCCCATCGACATTGACCTTTTCTTTTTCTCCATGGGCAAGGAGTCATAGAAAGAATACTGTAAATCCATCAGCAACCTACTCGTCTAGAAAAAAAAATATTCAGAAAAGCGCAGTTACCAATTTACCCAAGAGCCATCCATACTCACTACATATCACGAACTTGGTTCAGACTGAAATACAGCCTTCCTGGTTATTGTCAACCCCTGTCGAGATTCACCCTCCAGTGCCTAGATACCCTACCTCGGTATCAAAGAAAGATGGCGACGTCTCTGCCTCGGACGGTCCTTGCCTACCAGCGCAATGCCAAACTCTACACGCTCTCCACCCTCGTTACATCCGTCACGCCTTTCCAGCAACTCGCCGAAGCCAGCCGGCAACTCTTCAAGACCGTCCCAGATGAGGATTCCCTCGTGGTGACGACGGCCGAGACGATCTTCCACCCACAAGGAGGCGGCCAGCCCTCGGACATCGGGTCCATCACATCGTCCGCCGACGACGGCGGCGCCAGGTTCGACGTCTCTGCCGTGCGTTCGGACGTCGTCAACGACGGGGTGGTCCTCCACCTGGGCCGGTTCGCCGACCCGGCCAAAACGTTCGCCGCTGGCGCGTCGGTCACGCAGGCCATCGACGTGGAGAAACGGCTCCTCTATTCCCGTCTGCACACGGCGGGCCACGTGCTGGGCGCGGCGGTGCGGAACCTGCTCGAGAAGGAGGTGGCCAACTTTGACGAGCTCAAGGCCTCGCACTTCCCGGACTCGGCGGCCTGCGAATTCCAGGGCCTCATCGAGGGTAAGTGGAAGGAGCCCATCCAGAAGCGCGTCGACGACTACGTCGCCCGAGCCATGCCCGTCGAGATCGAGTTCTGGGACCCCGACGACTTCCGGCGCGAAGGCCTCGAGAGGCTGATCCCAAACCCGGACGAGGGCGTCAAGCTCGCCCCCGGGGAAAAGTACAGGGTCGTCCGCATCGCCGGCGCCGATGTCTATCCCTGTGGTGGCACGCACGTCGACACGACCGATCTGTGTGGCAAGGTCGGCGTGAAGAAGATTAGTCGGAGCAAAGGCACCAGTCGCGTGAGTTATAATGTGAGTTGAAAGCGGGTTATTTTCTCTCTTTTGGGGGTTTTTAGTAGGTTAGAAAAAGGAGGGAGGGTTAGAGACTAGATATCTAGTGTCGCATTTGCTGGGGAAGGGGGTATGTTCATCTGGTAAATGTATACATAACCGTGTTTTAGGAGCGATGATGCATGTATGGCTCATATGGTTTTCTTCTCCTTTTTCCCGGAAATCCACTACAGGGACATACGAGGAAACCAATGTACAAAAGAGACAAGAGACAAGAGACGAGATAGATCTCCATAGATGCATATTCCATTTTTTTCTTCCTCTCTCGTCAACCAAAGAACCCACCCTTTTTTTTGGCTTTATCTCGTTCCGTCTAATTTGTCGCCAAAGATCCCTCGCGGCGGCTTCCACTCGTAGTGGTGGGACCCCTTGAGCGGCCTGCCCGGTCCCTCGGACTTGAGGTCGAAGCTGTGCGCGCCAAAGTAGTCGAGCTCGGCCTCCATGAACTGCGTGGGCAGCTCCGTCGAGCTCGAGTACTTGATGTATTCGAGCGTGGCGGAGAGGGCGGGGATGGAGGCGTCGGCCACGAGGGATTTGATGACCACGCTCTTGAGCGACGCGACACACGCGCCCAATTCTGCCGCGACGGTGGCGTGCGCGAGGAGATCGTCCTCGTTGAGCGTCTCGGACTGTGACAGGACGCGGTCCAGCAGGTCCGAGATGTGGTCGCTCTGGATGATGCAGCCGCCGCGCCAGATCTGCAGGATCGCCCGGTAATCCAGATTCCAGCCCTGCTCGCGGTCTTTGGCTTTGATGATGCTGAGCCCCTGGAGGAATGCGCAGAGGAAGGCGGCATACAGGGAGAGCTTCAGGTCCTCGATGAATGACGGCAAGGCTTTCTCGTGCGGCACCTCCAACTGGATGGTGGCCGGCTGCGAGGTACTGCCCCCGAACGCGTGGTTGACCCGCTCCCGCTTGGCCGCGTCTGCTGAAGCGAGGCGGAACAGGTGTGCGCTGACGATCGTGGGCGAGGGGACGTGCAGACGGATCGTCTCCTCGCAAGTCCAGACGCCGGTACCTTCAGAGTTGTCCACGTCTTGAACAACTTTGTCCAAAACATTGGCCAGCACGAAACTCCCTTCCTCGTCCCTGGTACGGTTGATGTCCGCGCCGATGGCCACCAGGAAATTATCTCGGAGAGGCCCGCTCCCATTCCACGACTCGAACGTGTCGGCAATCTCTTCGTAAGACATCTTCAAGCATCTATTCAAGATGAACCAAACCTCGGCGATGGCGGACATCATGCCTTGTTCGATGCCATTGTGCACCATCTTCACATAATGCCCGCTACCCGCTGGTCCTATGCCGGTCGTGCACGGGCGACCTTGCTTGTCTTTCGCGGCGACTCGCTCCAAGAACGGGACGATCTTCTTCAAGGTCTCGGCATCGCCACCGGGAGACATCGAAGGGCCGTGTCTGGCACTTTGGTATCCGCCGCTTACACCGCAGCCAATATAGTGAATGCCGTCATGATCAAGGGCTTTTTGTCGCCGCTCTGTGTTTCGCCAGTCCTCATTTGAGCAGTCGAGTATAATGTCACCAGCCTTTAGATATGGGCGCAGATTTTCAACGGTTTCGTCTCCAACAGAACCATGAGGTATGCTGAATACGAATATTTTGGGTGAACCTGGCGAAGAGATGCTCTCGCAGAGCTCTTTATAGTCTTTCTGGTGCACAATACGGTCACGGGCCTGGATGGCTTCAGCGTGTTCTTGAAGCTGCTTGACATTTTCCTCATCTGTTTAGGGATAGTGAGTATGAATGATCGTGGTCCGAGAAGTGAGCCATGAAACCATTATGGGAATCTCATACTTGGATCGTAGTAGTGAACCTCGACTCCGTGTTCAGCATATAACAGAGACATCATGCCGCCCATACTTCCCACGCCAATCATGCCAAGCTATATCGCGTCGGGTCAGTACGCGGATCTTTTGGGTGTTTAGGCTTCTGATGATCTTCTCGGCATGGCAGCATCAGCCCCATGCTCATTACTTACCTTCTCGAACTCTGGACGGCCCTGTTGACCCATCGTGTCCGTTTTGAATGTCTCTTACTGTTGATAGGAGTGTGTCCATGTACGGGCCTTAAGATAATGTCGGGTATGTAGGCGTGAAGTTTGAGTAGGCGGCTTTTCGTCATCGTTTCAGGAGCAATAGGTCATACAGGAAAAGACATCCGGTAAGCTACTGTGAGAGACAAGTATTTCCTCGATATCCGTTGACGTCATCTTGTATTTCCGAGCTCGGCCATGCATTGACAACTCCCAGGTGATACCTTCCTTGGACTTGGTATGAACTGCAGAATTTGTATAGCAAGAGACAAAGAGCTGCAGCCTTTTCCTTAGATCTATCTGTACACAAGGGGCAAGCACTTTTGAAAGCCAAAGAGTAAACGTACCGTTCACAAACCTTCTCTGCATCGTCATGGCGAGTTTCAATGGGAAGGAGATTCCAGTCTGTTACGCCTCATGCTCTATAGGACATGATGGTTCTAAGCATACGCTCCCGGCCAAGTTGCAGACTCTCGCCACTGCTGGATTCGATGCTATCGAGCTCTCAATGCCTGACATTCTCGCGTACGGGCGAGAGATCTCCCAGACCAAGGCAGATATTGATCCAAAGGATTACAAAACACTTCGATCAGTCGCAACAGAGATCGGGAAAATGTGCGAAAAAGAAGGCTTGAAAGTCTTGATGCTGCAGCCGTTTGCCAACTTTGAGGGCTGGCCTAAGGATAGCAAAGAAAGACGAGATGCTTTCGATAGAGCCAAAGGGTGGATGAGCATAATGGAGGCAGTCGGAACAGATATGCTTCAGGTGTGTAGGCTCGTTTCTCCCGTAGCCGTGGTTGAAACATAGCAATATTGACCACGAGAACAGATTGGATCATCTGATGCTGAGGGCATCTCGCCTAGTTTTGACGACCTGGCGGCTGATCTGGCTGAGCTGGCAGACATCTTTGCGGAGAAAGGGCTTCGAATCGCATACGAAAACTGGTGTTGGGCCACTCACGCTACGACGTGGAAGGATGTCTGGGATATTGTGAACAAGGCTGACAGGCCTAATCTGGGGTTGTGCCTCGATACTTTCCAAAGCGCAGGGGGAGAATGGGGCAGCCCGACGACGAAATCTGGACGAATCGAAAATATCAGTACACAAGAGTTGGACAAGAGATGGAAGAGCAGTTGCGAAGAGCTCTCCAAAACAATTCCTCCGGAGAAGATATTCTTACTGCAGATCTCAGATGCATATAAAATGGAGCCACCGTTGGACGACAAGCCAGATGACAACGGATTGAGGCCTCGAGGCCAGTGGAGCCACGACTATCGACCGCTTCCATACGACGGGGGGTACTTGCCCGTGGAAGATTTCACCCGGGCGGTGTTCAATACCGGCTTCAGAAGCTGGGTGTCAGTGGAAATATTTGATGGTAATGGGCCACAAAAATATGGCGATGATATGGGCCCGTTTGCAAAGAAGGCCTTTGAGGCGGTGCATGCATTGTTGAAGCAGGTCGCAGACACTGCTTGATTGTTTCTGTTGACTAGGGTCATGGTCATCAAAAGTACTGGACTGTGTTCAAAGGGGTGGATTGGAATGGAATCCAACACAGGGCGTCCGGCCTGGTTGATTGGAAGTACCATTTGCGGCATGAGCTATTCATGTCTCTCGTGTCCGCCAGGCCGCATATGAATATGCCAGACCTCCAGACATTGTGTACCAGGCGGAAGTCAGGGAAATCCAAGCTTCATACGTAGCTTGCAGTGAACTAGCTCGGCCCAGTCGAAAAGCTGCCTTGTGGAACCATTCATGCTTCTTTTGCCTTGCTTTTTGCAGCTTGACGGTAATTTCCGTCTTGTGGAATGCAGAAATATTCCAGGCTGTACAACATCAAGTCGGCATATTTCTAGATTCTACCGATTACTCGTCGGGGTCGCTCGAACCATGCGCCGGCAAAGAAGCAATAGCCGGCTGCATCTGAGAATAGACCCGCCGGATCGCCAGAGGAGTGATGTGCCATTGGACCTACTCGTAAGGCGTACTTGGGCAGAGAAGGTCCATAGTCTGAAGAGCCCGTACTCGTAAAGGAAGGTGGGTAGGGCAATCTGCATCCATGATGGGTTTTTTGGCCCTTCTCGAGTAGGACACACTCTCAGGACCTTGCCGGGGTAGACTGTACCGCGGATTCCGATTGGGAAGCGTGGTACAGACACTGAGGTCGTTCTTTGGGTCTTGATGTTGCTGTTGTCGAATTGCCAATCGCGTTCATGTCTCGGACTGATCCGGATGCAGTAATTGCTGACCTCGAATCTCCCGGAAAGGGCGGCTTGTTGCACGAGGGCAACCACAGGCATGTGTATCAATAAGTAGTCGGCCTCTATCACCTCCGTGCGGGGCAAAGAACATGCGAGTATCTCCCAGTAGACCAGAGAACTCGGATGAGGGGCCTGATAGGGATTGAGAAACGCGGTCAATAGGGCATCTGGACGCGTCGAGGGGTGAGGGTTGTCACTGATGGGGGAGCGGGAGAACGTGGGCGGAAATTGAGGCTGAGGTCTGTTTTTTCTTGGCACTGCATCAGGGAGCCACGGTTGTCTGTAATTTCCGACCCTTCGATCAAATTTCATCACCTCGGAACCTCCCATTCAGTCCTCTCGCTCCACCCAATGACGCCCTTATCGTCGCCGTGGTACCAAAGTACGTCGTTTCAGCCTGCCGTCGCGTCATGCAGCCCCCAAACCCATCCTCGGCCGGGTTCGCTACTTGTGTGTACATCGGTCTGTGCCTGACGCCACTCGCTTGGTGGCACAACATCTTCCACGAACGACCGGGGTTAATCCCAGATACCTAGATACCCTTGTTAATACATCCTTGCTGTCTGCGAGGACGAGTCTGGGTGCACCTCTCCTCCTGCATCATACGACAATCAGGATATGTCCCGATCAGGCAGCTAGTGATCTTCATTATCATCTACTACTTTTCTACCTCCTTCGGTACCTGCGTCGGGTACTGAGTCCACCGATCCCTGGTAAACTTTGAATAGGACGGGAGATCGTCATTGCTCAGAAGATCGTCTGCAAGGGGCGTTGGAAACAAAACATTCTTGGCTCTTTCCGGCTCGACTGCGAATGTCTGCCTTGGACCTTGCGCCTGGCACCCTTTGCGAGTATCCAATCCAAGCCCTGTATCTGGGTGTGAAGCTTCAACGGTGGCTTTTTTGGTGGCTTTCGACGACCCATGTCCAAGGAGAATGCCTCCCCGACAGACTTTGTGCGCGTCTCCACCTACCCTACCACTGCGCAACCCAACACTGGTTGCAAGGTTCGACGATAATAAGGTAATATGCTACGGATGCACCTTGTAAGAAAAGAAAGCGACATACACAGTAAGACTAAGTTATACCAGCGGTAAGTCGGCGCCGATGTAAGGCCTGAAGGACGTCGCGATCCATCCCCTGGCACGCAGCCACATCTGGTCAGGTACACCACTTTATAGTCCTCTATCCCTTCCCTTTGATCCCCTTCCTCAGCTATTTGCCCAGATTTTGTGACGACTAGGTCTTACATCCTCATCATCGCCCGGACGCTCTTTTTGTCATGAAATTCACCGTCCGTCATGACTCCCAGGAAATTCAGTAGCTTGAATTCAAGCATTTCTTCTACTCCAACAACAGACAACGACCTTGCGAGCAGAGAGCCGATCGATATGGAGAAGGCTCCTCATACAAATGGACCACCACCTACAGGTCGACCTGCTGGACCTCCTGCTGGACCCCCTGGACCACCCGGCGGCTGGCTAATTACGCGCATGTCGAAACAACAAGAAATCCTCTTCAACATTATGGTAGCATTCCTTCAACTTATCCCACAATCGACCTTGACAACAGTTTTCCCGGTCAGCCGGGACCTCGCACAGTCCTTCACCATCTCAAACCCCTCAGTACTGCCATGGCTTGTCGCTGCGTACGCATTGTCATTCGGAACTTTTATTCTGATCGGAGGACGACTTGGTGACATCTTTGGCCATAAGACGATGGTCGTGATCGGCTATTCCCTCCTCAGTCTGTGGAGTGTCGTTGCTGGACTAAGTCACTATGTCGGCTATGAGTTGTTCTTCGTGGCAAGAGGGTTCCAAGGTCTTGGTGCGAGTCTGATGGTGCCAAACGGTCTCGCGCTGCTAGGTCGAACTTATCCACCGGGATCCAAGAAGAAAATCCTCTCCTTCACGCTGTTCGGTCTATGTGCACCTGTGGGAGCCTACCTGGGCATGATCTTTGGAGCGTTGTTCACCAAGTTCGCATCCTGGTGGTGGAGCTTCTATACTCTCGCCAGCGTTTCTTGTTTCCTGGCAGTAGCCGCCTCTGTTGTATTGGTCTCTCCACCACCGACTCCAAAGCAGATGCTACCAGTCAAGGAGAAATTGCGGGATATGGACTGGCTTGGGGCCCTCACCGGTGTTGGTGGCCTTATTTGCGTCCAAGTCTCTCTTGTCTCTGCTCCGGCCTCGGGGTGGAGTACCCAGTACATTTTCATGTTGCTGATTATCGGCCTCTTGCTCATCGCCTTCTTTGTTATCACGGAGCTCAAGATTGCCGAACAACCACTGGTACCATTCAAGATGCTCAAGGCAGATGTTGGCTTTGTCCTTGGCGCCGTCGCATGTGGATGGGCCACGTTTGGAATATGGACATGGTTTCTGTGGAGGTACCTCCTTGGGATTAAACATGAGACTCCTCTTGGTGCTGCATTGAAAGTCCTGCCTATCGTGCCCGTTGCTTTGATTGCTTCGGTGTTGACGGCTTGGATGATGCGGAAATGTCGGCCCTCATGGACTCTGTTTTGGGCTTTGGTGGCTTTCGCATTCGGACCGCTGCTTCTGGCAGCCGACTCGAATATTGACAAGACGACCTACTGGAGCTGGACATTCGCCAGCCTCATTGTCATGCCTTTTGGCATGGACATGTCCTTTCCGGCAGCGACATTGATCATGTCCAACTTCTTTCCTCCTCAACAACAAGGTGTTGCCGGGA